AGTTCAGGAAGCCCCTATCCTCCTAGCCTTTTGTACAGCTTTGAAGCTCTAGCTTTTCCCACTTCAATTTTGTCATGATTTATTTTATTGTCTAGATAAAGCAGTAGATACTTTATTAAGTATATTAGTGGCTATTAATTGAAATCCTGTGAATGAAAATAATCTGGAGAATTAGCTCTTCTCTAAAACTTTAAAACTGATAATTGTTCCTGCTGTTTTGTTGAACATTATCTCAAGTGTCCAAGTCCCCAGGCCTTGAGAATTCAGAAGCGAAAAAACCCTGGAAACAGTTGGTATTTTTTATTCAATCCTGAGGTATGGCACAAATGAGTAACTGACATTTGAAAAGTCAGCGTTGGGAGCAACTGCCTCCCAGTGCTCTATTTATAGGCAAGACCACACCCCTTCCGACCCCCTAGCAACCAACATCAACATTCTGTGTCTTAACAGCAGTCTACCATCCGGTGCCTGCATTTCTGGTCTCTGAGTTCTGCATGTTGTGTCCTCCAGCGCCAATCAGCTGGGCTTTGGAGAACTGTCTACTGTGCAGATGACTGGAGACCGGTTGTTGCTGCGACATTGCTCCCTTCATACATACATACATACATACATGTATGTATGTATGTATGTATGTATGTATGGTATTCAGCTTTGTTCGGGTATTTTCCCATGTCATTATAGTTGTGCTTTTAAAGTTGTAGCAACGTTTCGGCAGAATCTCATCTGCCATCATCAGGCTTCTGTATTGGGTTCGTCTGTGAGTCAGACTTTCACAGCCATTTCTGTTTTAAATTTGGTGCTAGCCTACGCTGTGCCAGAATGGTTTTTTCTTCATCCTGATTGGTTGGGAGTCTTGGTCTGTGTTTATTGGTCTTGGAGTTTGCTGTGTTCTGCTTGATTGGTGTTTCTAATATCTTCTGTCTGTTTTGTAGCTTTTTTTGTCTTGATTGGCTGGCAACATTGTGTTTCCTGTATTGGAGGCTTTTAGTGCGGCTTGGCTCCGAGTAAATGGACGGCCATCATTTATTTTATCCTATCTTAGTAATTGGGCTAGGCCAGACATAGCATATAGTGTCAACCAGTTAGCTAGGTTTAACTCTGAGCCTACTGAAAGGCACTGATGTGTGTTGAGATATCTTAAACAAATGATGCATTATGCATTATATTTGGAGCCTAAGGATGAACTAAGTTTAACTGCATGTGCCGATGCAAGTTTCGCTACAGACGTACCTACACGTAAGTCAACGTCAGATACTGTAGTGTTATTAGGAAAGGTGTTAATTGGATGGCGGTCTATTCGACAAAAACATCTAAGCTTGTCAACAATGGAGGCTGAATTCTCATGTTTGTCTCTATTATGTACGGACTTAGTATGTTACAAACAACTAATGATAGACATGGGAAGTAATGTAAACGAACTTATTGTTGTATATGAAGACAACCAATCAGCAATTCAGATGGCTTCCAATCTCGCCGTAAAGACAAGATCAAAACACACTGATCTACGATATCTGAGTGTGAGACAATGTGTTCAAAGTAAAATGATTAAGCTGGAGTACTGCATGTCAGAGAATAACATTGCAGATCATTTTACGAAAGCCCAAGCTTGTCACTGTAAAACATAAGGCTTGTTGTGAGGAATATGAACTTAAACTGTAAGGTTTTATATATTGTCCTACCCAAAGGGGAGAATGTTAGGAATGATAGTCACCTAACAGTTGGGCTGGCAATATATAAACCAGGATAGTCATTTAATACTGTTGTATCTTTAAGAGAATGTTGTAATTGTGATTGGCTGAGGTTCCTCCAATGGCCATAAGATGGAGCCAGAAACCTGGTTTGTTCTTTTTTGCATTTCCTTTGCTTTCCTTTTGCCTTTTGCTTGATCATCATTCTGCTTGAATTACTGTGAGTCTTGCAACTATTCGCAAACTCCGTTTACTGAACTTTGTTTATGATACTGGTAAATAAAAGGATTTCATTTGTGGATTATCCCTGGACTGATTATTCAATCCTGAGGCATGGCACAAATGAGTAACTGACATTTGAAAAGTCAATGCTGGGAGCAATTGCCTCCCAGCAATCTATTTATAGGCAAGACCACACCCCTTCCCACCCCCTAGCAACCAATGTCAGCATTCCATGTCTTATCAGCAGTCTACCATCCAGTGCCTACATTTCTGGTCTCTGAGTTCTGCATGCTGTGTCCTCCAGCGCCAATCAGCTGGGCTTCGGAGAACTGTCAGTTAGCTGTGTGGATGACTGGAGACTGGTCATTGCTGCACTGTTGCTCCCTTCATTGTGGCAATTTCTGTTCTTTCCCCTCCCCCCATGTCTGTCAAGCCTTTCGGGGCTTGACACATTAAATAAATTAAATTATTTGTTACCCTGTAAATAAGGGTTGCTTTGAAGGACAGAAGAAATGCAAATGTTATCTGTTTTTCTTTCCCATGGGTATTTAAGGTACACCTAGTTGAACCTGTACACTTCCCTTATACTGTGTATAAATGCATATATATAATGAGAGAATGCAAACCTATTTCCCAAGAGTGCATGAGCTGTTTTAAAGTTTCTGAACAAATGCTTTATCTTAACTTCAATAAAATGTATGAAGCTGTTCTGGGCCTTTAAACCTTTTAAGGAAGATAGATTACATCTATTTTCTTAGGAATTAATATTCTGAATCGGGGTTGGGAAACATTTTTCTTAGGAAGTTGACTAATGGAAGAAAAAAACAGTGCAGGATGGAATTATTCCTGATAGACTAGTTAGAAGATGAAAGATGGACCAGCAATAATATGAAACATTAGATACTTCTGAAGGCTACATAAAATCTTCCTAATGCATGTCCGATTAAACTGGTGAGATTAAAAACTCTTCTGTAGGAAACAGAAGGAATGATATACAAATACTTTAGAAAAGAAAAGGATCTGTCCCATAGGCAATGGTGAGAAATGAGAAATAAATCCAGAATAGTTTCTGGATCTCCTATAAATCCCCTGTCAAATCCTAAGCATTGTAAACAATTGAGTAAAAAAACCCAAAAGAGACCATCTGAAGCTCTGCTTTTTTTTCTAAGAGGAACCAAGTTTGAGAACAAGGATTAACTGATTTTAAAAGTTTAACCAGAAATGAATTTTAGCCAGCATTTCAGTTGGCATGTTCCATCTTTTGTATATGTTCAAATGTTGGATGAATAGATGCGGTAGCAGAATGAAAGAAATGTTTTTGAGCATATCTAATTATTTTATGAAACAAATCCTATTTCCTCCACAAAAATGTTTTCTTTGGTTCTATGTGCACAGTCAATCAAAACTGATTATATATTTAGTGAATTATAGAATTGAGTCGGATATGGGGGAATTTAACTTTTTTCTTATTTTACTTTTCCATCATCTTTTATAACAATGTTATGGTTGTATGCAAGTTCTGATGTTATCAAATAAAAAATGAAATCCTCAGTCATGGTTGCTGACATTTTAGTCACACATTAAATTTAATCAAATTCCTATGAGAATGGGGAACAAGCTCTGCAGCTCTGTAAAAGCTCTTACAATGTCAATCTCCTCTAATGTAATCTTTCAAGGCGAAGCTGTTTGGAAACAGGTTGCCATAGTTACTGATGAACGCTCGGAGCATTGGCCTTATCCGCCATCTAAATGTGCTATAGTTCTTTTCTTTCTTTCTTTTTAAATCCTTTTTTCCCTTTTCCTTTTTGGTAGTTTAAATCTTATTAAATTTGTTCCGTTATCTATTTCCTCCCCTTTCATTAACACATAAGCACACATCCTAAGTAGTAATACATTACAGTACATGCGTGTGTATGTGCATGTATGTGTGTATGTAATATAGAACTTAGAACGTGTAATTTTACCAAAAAGTAATTTTGTTATCATTTGGAGCATAAAGCCGTCCTGCCATGCTTCAAGATCTGAGGGCCGTGCAACTGGGTGAGCTCCCAATCTTGCCCCAGCACTTGAGCAGTTCAAAAGCATGAAAATGTGAGTAGATAAATGGGTAACATTTCAGTGGAAAGGTAACAGCCTGGCCACTGAAATGTCTTTGGACAATGCTGGCTCCCTTGGCTAAGAAGCAGAGATGAGCACCAGCCTCTAAAGTTGGACATAACTGGACAGGGTAAACCTTTATCTTTACCTAAGTGCAGACTCTTAAAGCATTTTTTCAAATGCTTCTTTGGAAAAAATTACGTTGCATTTATTATAAAGTTAAATTTTCTACAGTGAAAGCCTGGTGTCTGGCCTTATCAGGCAGCTTCAGGAAAGTGGAGGAACCACCACAGATCCCCCTCAATATTAGAGGTATCACCTGTAGATCTCTTGTTTATTCCTACCTTTCTCAAGCCTTCTTCCTTTGAACTCCTTTTTTTGCCTGTCATTCCAAAATTGGGGAAAAGGACATCTGCTCCCACAAGTAATAAACCCAGAAAAGCTCAATCCCTGGGAATTTCAATAGATTATGGAAAAACACTAGCTTAAATACTAGATGTTCTGTACTTCACACTTACACTAATTAACTCTGTTCTTGATGTTAAATATTCAAATTGTTAGACATTTTAATATGTCCACTGAATAAAACTTTATTCCTTTAGCTCTTGGAACAACATCAGGTTTATAGCGTGCTTCAGAAGGGACAGTTCTTACATTACTTATCAATATGCACTAAGCAGAGAAAAAAGTGAGAAAAAAAGTGAAAAGTTATGGAAAGACAACGTTCTGAGAACCCATTTTAAAGCTTCATTACTAAAATAGGCAGTTGCATAATAAAAGTCTCACCTGCCAGCCTTCAAGATTCTATCAACTAAAACTAGAATAAAGTAGAATTTGGAAATACTTTGTCTAAGATTTTGGTCTTATATTCTTAATTTAATGCTAATGTGCTGTTTTTCACATTTTTTTATTTGTAGCTTATTTATTGCAAAACTTAAATTACTGTGAAAATCTTTGTGGCATTGTACAATGAAGCTTTCTATTGTTGTTTAGGTTTGTCTGCAGCCAAATTATTGTATGACTCAGGACTGGATGTTGTAGTCTTAGAAGCCCAAGACAGGGTTGGAGGCAGAACTTACACAGTAAGAGTAAGTACTCTGTGTGTGTGTATCTTTCTCTCTGTGTGTAATTTTCCACTATAAAATGTGAAAAAGTAGGGTTCACCAGTATTTTGCTGTTCAAATTGGCTCTGCCTGTTATGATCTAATTGCATCTGCTCCTTTAATCAGGTAGCCCCGCTGACAGTCACTCATGCCTTAGTCACTTTATTACTGTTAATGGAACTGCCCTTGATGACCCCTTGGGAATTTCAATTGATTCAGGATGCAGTGGCATGGACAGTTATGGGTGCTTCTTGCTATCCCAATTTAACTCTTCTAATTCAGAGGTCCCCAACCTCCAATATCTGGCCATGGCCTATTCACAACTGGACCATGTGAAGGATGGCCCAACTAGCATGTATGTGTATGCAGCTCAACTTGCACAAGTGGTGGGCTGGCATGCATGCACATGCACGTTCAGCTTGACTTGCAGTCGAGCTGTGTGTGCATGCCATCCAGCCGCCTGTGTGCATGTGTGTGCATGCCAATCTGGTTCCTCTCCCCCCCTTCACCAAGCCACAAAGGTTGGGGAGTGCTGCTCTAATTCATAAGCTGCACTGGTTACCAGTTCACTCCCAGTTGCTGGTCTTATTTATGAAAATCTTTGTGGTATAGAGCCAGCCTATTTGCAGAACTCTCTGTCTCAAATCTTTTCTATCTGTCCAGTAGGATGTATACAAAGTCGGTATGTTTTAGGGCCTGCCATATAGGCTATCTTACCTGGCAAAATTTAGAAGATGTGCTTTCTTTGTTGCTGTTCCTTCCAGTGGTGGGATTCAAATTATTTTACTACCAGTTCTGTGGGTGTGGCTTGGTGGGCATGGCAGGGGAAGGATACTGTAAAATCTCCAGTCAAAGGTGGTATTTGCCAGTTCTCCAAACTAGTCAAAATTTCAGCTGAACTGGTCAGAACCTGCGGAATACCACCTCTGGTTCCTTCCCTATGGAACAACATACCCCTTGAAATCTACCTGACAGCAAAGCCCTTTAGGGGGCATTAAAGAATAGTTCTTATTCAAACATCAGGTTTGGGAAAGATACGACCTTGGATGAGTTTTCCCCCCAACCATTTATGTTACTATATATCTCTGGTTGATTTATATTTTTTATCTTTTTATGATGAAATCTTACGGATTTATTTTTGTTTTTAAATAAGATATGCTACTCTTAATCATATGCTGAGTGGATAACTATAAACACTGGTTAAACAAATAAATGAATAAAAATGAACCTTACCCAAGCACGAACAGCTTCATCAAAATGGATCATACTTCTTTCAGCCAAGATTTGATCCTTGTTGTATGTGCAGATTCCTTAAAAGATTACCTTTCTGACCAGCAAAAAAAGACATTGTTAATTATTATGCAAAAAATTATCAATGTTGTACAATGATAGATACATTGACATACATTTTCCTTTTTTCCATTCATGTTAGGGACATATATATTCATTTACCAATATGCTGTTTTTTTTTCCTCAATCAGAATAAGCACGTCAAGTATGTTGACTTGGGAGGAGCATATGTGGGACCCACACAAAATCGTGTTTTACGTCTGTCTAAGGAGTTAGGACTAGAGACTTACAAAGTGAACGAAGTTGAGCATCTTATTGATCATGTCAACGTAAGAGCAACAGTTTCTTTACTTCTTTTTTATGATGTGGGAGACTCACAAAGCTTTAATAATTTTTGAGATTTTATAATTTGGAATGGCTTTTTAAATACTCAGATTAACAAGATATGAAAGAATTCTGAAGGTTAATCAGCAACATCATTTGACTAAAAGTATGATTGAATTGTTTTCTTCAATTTGTATAATTTCCAAAAGTTTTCTTCAATGTGTATTATTTTAGGAAGTTAGTATAGGCATAATGTTTTATTTAGCATAAAGATTGAAAGAGAGACACAGCTGGGGTGATATATATGTTAACTAGTTGGCAGAAATATTTTGGCTATTTCTTTTGGAGGTATCTCTTATCAAATAAGTCTTTGCGGTTGACCTATAGCCATGAATATTATTGTGTTAGCTAACATAGCTGACACCAATTGTCAGTCCAAACCATAGTGCATTTTGTAAAGATAAAATGTGGGGAGAGAACTCTTATTTGCATTGCCTTCAGAAAAACCAGGGAACCATAAGTAGTGCACAATACCAATCTTGTGGCTTTCAAATCACTCTGTGTTGCACACAAAAATTCATGGGCAAAAATTATGTTTGATAGTGAATTTTTTCCATTTTTCTCTCTCAAAAAATAAGGAGCAAAATTTAGTAATATATAATTTAAAAGTGTAATTTTCTAGTAAAAACAAACTTTTTGGAGAAAGATCCACCCACTGGCTCCACCGAGAAATTTAAATTTATGGAAAGTTTTCTTAGCTATGTTTCCAAACCAATCTCAGGGCTTAGTACATAATTGTTTAATCTAAGCCTCAGATTGTCCCAAAGGTGCTTTTTTCAAACACTTTCAGTAGATTCCATTATCTTCTTTTAAATCTTTTATAAAAATGCATGCATTAGCAAGTATTATTCCACCAAAACAGTATCATCAGGGAATATCAACATTGTTTTCCCTGGCATGGAGCCAATTTTTAGAGAAGACAACACAGCAGACAAAAACAGGCCTACTTTCAAACAAATATCTACTTCTTATTGATTCATAAATCAATTAACTTCTCAATATGCCTTTTTCTTAAAAGCTTATCATGAACCCGATCTCTGTAGATTGTCATGAAATTTGCATCTCACATTTATCATCAAATCCTTCTTTTAGAAATTCTTTTTTTAAATTTAAAAATTCCTAAATATTATATTTTCCCATATTTTCTAATCAAATTCATAAATACCAATATTATTTTCATGTTGTAATATTTCTTTTTGTACTGAATTGTTTTAGTTACCCTAATTTAAAATCTTCAAAATTAACTCTTTGTAAATTATAATTCCAATGATATGATTTTGAACATTTCTAATTCTTCCATAATAAGCAATCTATTATTTCTAAGAACTTTATATATGGCTTTATCAGACTTGACTTGACAGGTATCAGATTTTTCATTGAGCATTCATGGATCAAAATCACAAGATTCTGTATATATGTATTTATTATATTTCTATGTCTTCATATTTATATCTCTTGAACCCTGTAGAACCCTGGCTAAATGCTGCCACTGCTTCCATTGGCAAATACTATAAACTTGAAAATATATACAGCTGCCTATGTGAGAGATAGGCTGAAAGCCAATAGTCCTCAGTGCAGAGTTGTCCCTTATGTTAACACCAACAACCAGTGTCAAGGCGGTGAATCTCAGGGCAAACAGTCCGTTCAAACATGAGACAGACAAGAAAAAAAAAGGCATTCGGTTCCAACTGTCATGATGTAAGAGAGAAATGCAGTCTCATGCTGACAAAATGCAACCAAGATTCTTCTATGACACATGTCTAGGAAGTTTTGACTTTTTGACATTGGTCCTTTGGGTTGGGAAAGTAATTAATAATTATATTTTCAAAAGTAGTTTAAAAAGATGCTGACTTTTTATATTTTAATTCCAAAAAAGATTTAAGTTAGAGCTGTACTAGCCAAAATAGATGAAAACCTATGTAATCAATCTCTTCTTTATTAGATAGTATCTAACTCTCATAGTTTTCTTATGCTACTTATTTACTATTTATTATCTGTCTTTACACTTTTTATAAATAAGTGGACATACCTTCCTCCTTCTACTTTTCCCATACCTGTGTGGTTAGGCTGAGAGAGAGTGACTAGCCCCAAATCACCCAGCTGGCTTTCATGTCTAAGGCATTATGGGCTCTGAAGACTCTCCAAGGTTTCAGTTTTGCTGCCCTGATGATAGAATCCTGAATATACAAGTAAAGGTGCCAAAAGAGAGAATCCCTCTTTCAAACCTGAATTACTGCACATTTAAATGAACACAATTCTGTATATCTTCCATCAGACATTGTTATTAAAGATACCAAATAAATTGAGATGTAACACTGGTCCATAAAATCTTTCCTGTGGTCAATTTATTAACATATGATTATCATGCTTAACTTGTATTTTTAATTAATTTGTCAATTTAACCAGATACTTTATCAAATGCTTATGAAAGCAGCCAAACCAAATCCAATTATATCAAGAATAGAAAATAGTTAAGCTGTATTGATGGAAACAAAAAGTCTAATCTGGTCAAAATTCTTATATATTATCTTATATGGCTTATAACTATTATGAACATTTGTTGACTGTGATAAGCATTTCTTAAATGTTCTAAATAGAGAATAAGCATTCTGATGTTTTCTGCTTGGTATTCCCAATAATCTTGGATTTATCTGAAATTGGAAAATAATTCTTAAGTATTCTTATGTAGAAGTGTAAACCCTCTTAATTAACCCTTGATTTCCCAAAGGCTGCCAAATTCTATAGCATCAGATACTGATCTGGAGAGCTGATAAATCTCCTATACTCTTTCCCCTTGCTATTGCCAAAATATTGCTATTAGTAAATATAGTTTAAAAGACAGGATTGGATAGTGACGAGAAAAGTGGATGGCATATAGACTTCCTATCTATGTGGTTGCTGAATCTACCTGATGGTACAAGTCATGACCCAAGGGATATGGTTGCTGACAGATGATTTCCTAACATTTTGGAAAACAGCTAAGTCAGAACTGAAAGTAAAACAAAGAGAGACTGCATCTTTTTCAACATCCCCTTTTCATGACTTTGAATGCTCCTGCTGTTTCTGCTGTTCTCTCTTTGCTCATTTAGTTGTTCAAGTTGTTCTTATTTAGGCTGAATACCACTTACATGGTATTCTAATGGTATTCTAATACAACTTCTTAGCACTAATATGAAAAGGAAAGTTTTACTTTTTTCCAACTGTGGTCCAAACATAAATATAATGGAAATGGTGTGCATTTGGATTCACATTAAAAAGTTCATATTCCTGGACTTTTTAACTGTAGCTAAATGGAATAACTATCTGTTTTGAGTTGTTTCTTCTTTCATTGACTTTATAGGGCAAATCTTATCCCTTCAAAGGGCCTTTCCCTCCAATGTGGAATCCCATTACTTATTTGGACTACAACAATCTATGGAGGACACTGGATGAAATGGGGAAAGAGGTAAGATTTGGACAAGTTGCAACTTGAGATATGGATGTAATTGTTTAGTCATAAAGCTGGCTGGGGAATTCTGGAACTGAAGTCTATACATCTGAAAGGTACTGAGGAATTATTTTTTAATGTGAACATCAACAGAACTAGGTAAAGCAGCCTGTTCTCCAGAATGCAAGTCTGTTTCCATTCACCTGTTCTCCTTCCAAGATGTCTCTGTCCCTCCATGGGAGAAAGCAGTTGATTTTTCTACTACTTATGGGAATATGAATGAAACAGACCCAATTTCTTGAACAGCCCAATTTCAAGATTATTATTTATAGTACTAAATCATGCTTTGTTGGATAAACAACGAATATTTATTTAGTTTATTGGTTAAATTTAATTAATTAGATTTAAAATATTCATGATTTATGTGAGAATTTCCTTTTGTTTTATCCATACAACAGCAATTCTATGACATAGACTGCATGGTCAAAAAGTGATCTTTGGTCAACAAACATTTGATGATTTAAAAAAAACTTCGAAATATTCATTCATGCAACTCATCTACTATACCAGCTCAAAATAAAATGCTTTCCTCTATTAAAATCCTGTAACATAAATGACAGAATTGTTATAAAAGCTGACCAAATTAAAACAATTCAAGAAAATCTTTGATTTTGAAGAGCAACCATTCCATTGTTGTAATCTGGGGGAAAAGTACTGGAATCTAATAAAAAGATTGGTTGATTTTTAAACTGTTGCATGATCAACTCTGTGTTGTAGTTGTTCTTTACACATATGTCCTTTCCTTTCCTAGATTCCTAATGAAGCTCCATGGAAAGCACCACATGCAGAGGAATGGGATAAAATTACCATGGAACAGTTGCTAAATAAAGTGTGCTGGACAAAGTGAGAAATAATTTTATATTGTATACCATGTCTATACAATAGAAGATGATAGCATCTAAAACAAGCATTCCATTTTGAAAGATAGAAAGAATCTTAGGTAGAACGAATGCTGTCCCCCATAGAAAACGGGTCCTTAGTCAAATTTATTTTACAATTAAGTGGTCTGATCTGATGACATAATTTGTACATTAAAGTTTCGGTGCATAGATCTGTAAAATACAGAGCATTTTATATATACACACACACACACACACATACACACACTTGTGATATTTAAGCCAGGTGATTATTTTTCTTCATGAAATCATTTTGAAGCCAAAATCTGCATAAATCTCATTTTCTAAAGTAGTTTCTTTGGGAATCATCATCAAACCTTGCCTAGATTAAGCTCTGCAAAAACTCTTGACAAGAGCCTCCAACAGAAAGGAGGTGTTTCATATAGCAATGCTAAAATAAAAGGTCTGCATTAGCAGCAAATTATAGTTGCTTATTTAAAAGTAAGTACTATGGACTCAGTAAAACTTGTCTCAAATTGGCATGTAAAGACTTACATTGTTATAAACTTCTGCTAGTGCTTTAAGGAATAACTAGGACACAATGTTTTTCTTTATTTTTATTAAAACATGTATTGTGCTAGATGGCATAAAACAAAACAAAATAGCAAATGGATATTAGCTATTTTGGAGGACAAATTGAAAGAAGTCCAGAATAATGGGAAACAAATAAATGTAGAAGAACAAGCCACTGGTCACAAAACCAAAAATAATCTATTAGAAAACTCCTGATGCTTCTGTAAAGAAAATCATTGTTCTTTGTTATGAAATAAATCATTCTTCATCTCAAAATAAAATCAATTCCATAACTCCACTGAGAAAAACCTCTGTCCCATGTAAACCACTTAGCAATGTTAAAGTTGTTTTAAGTCATATTTAAAATATGTCTTAAATAAGAAGAGAAAAAGCAGATTGGTAGGATATTACTACTCTAGAGTCTCCTAACAGTGGGTATGAGTCCCAGTAAATATCATCCAGCCAGGGAATGTGGCCCTTAACAGTAACAAAGTAATCAGCAACTGTTTGCATTGGATCCTGGAAAAAAGGATGCTAATGCTTTAGATAGCATGGACCCAGAAGGGGAAATGGTACTTGTTAAAATTATGGAGATTAGTTGATATCCAGTAAATTGTACAGTTCCCTTACTCAATTATTCAAAAGTCAAGATATGTTCAGAATTGAGCCATCTGACAGTTAGGTCACATGAACCCAAAATGCACTGAATTTCTACTAAACATGTGTGCATAAGAGCTAGTCCACAGAATTGGACTCTCTTGTCTCTATTCTGCAGCTGAGCTGATTTGGGTTTAGCTCAGGGGTGTCAAACTCAAGGCCTGCAGGCTGAATATGACCAGCGGGGTGCTTAAATCCAGCCTGCAGGGCAGGCCTGGAAATATCAAGGGACTGGCCCATGATGCTTCTGGTGGCTAAAATGGGCCACATGCTAGGCCCCCCACACCTTGTTTTCATCCTCCATGGCCTCCTGCAGCATTCTGTTGGCCAAAATCGGGATGAAAACTGAGCTGAAACTGGGCCAAAAAACAGACCCAAAGCAGGCCAAAAAATGGGCCCAAAACAGTCTGAAAAATGTGCACTGGAAAACGGGCTCAAAATGGGTCCACACGCTCTTTTGCTCTCTCTTGCTCTTGTTCTCTCATCTCACCTAATGATGATGGCACCAGCCATGCTCTCCACGGCAGCCTGCACTGCTTCGTCTTTCACCACCATCACCTCGCTTTGTTCATCTTAATTCTTTGCCACTTCTTCTCATTGCTCACCACTGCAATGGAGCAGGAGGTTGAGCAGTGCAGCATCCTCAAAGTGAGGTGGTGGAGGGGTGGAGGATGAAGCAAGGCAAGGGGTGCGGAGCTGCCCATCCACCTTGCACCGGCTTACTTGGGGGCCTCATAGTCAGTCCATCAACATCCTGACAACTGCCTCATTTTGCAGTGGCTCCAGAAGCCCACCCGCAGGGCCCCACATGGCTGGTGCATTGCTCAGTCTCCTGCTCCATTGTGGCAGTGAGCTAGGAGAAGCGGGACAGCCACGTGAGGTCCTAAACTGAGTTTCTGCTGCCATGAGACCAGGCAGTTGTCAGGACGTTGATGGCCTGGCTGCAGGGCCCTCAGGTAAGCCAGAGCGGGGTGCATGGGGCAGCTCCATACGTCCCCTCATTTTGTCCTCCACCCCCCACCCCTGCCCTAGCTTGATTTTTACACGTGTGCCTCGCCCCATCTCGTACAACCAGATGGTGAGTGGAGCTTAATTAGGCTTTGTTTTGGGGGTGGGGCTTATTTTAGGTGCAGGTGTAAAAATCAGGTTTGTTTTCAGGTAGGTTGATACATCCTCCCTGAAAAGTCCAATGCAATTCATCATTTGGGTAAGTCTATCTTTTAAAGAAAGTCCAATTCATCATTCATCAACTCTTCCAATTCTATCCCTATAAAATGCAAATCTCTTTCAAATTTTTGCAATAGGCCTCCTGTTTTCAAGCGAAACTCACCCTTTTTCAGATATGCCAGCATCAGAGGTAGTATTCAGCAGGTTCTGACCAGTTCTGGTGAACCGGTAGCGGAAATTTTGAGTAGTTCGGAGAACCGGCAAATACCAGCTCTGACTGGCCCCGCCCCCATTTATTCTCTGCCTCCCAAGTCCCAGCTGATTGGCTGGGTCTTCTTTTGTTGCCCTGCACAGGAGAACGAAGCTGGAAAGCAGGTTAGTGGGGTGAGGAGGGAATGGGGATTTTACAGTATCCTTCCCTTGCCACACCCACCAAGCCACGCCCACAGAACTTGTAGTAAAAATGTTTGAATCCTACCACTGAGCAGCATGGTCTTAAATTCCAGTCCATCAGTTGTAGTTCTGGCTTGGCTGTGATTGTTTGCCTCTAGATTTATATTTAGTTGATTTGAAACTGATAGCCAAATCTGGCCCTAGTTTCTGCCTCGGTTTATCTTCCCAATAAGCAACTGAGTTGGAAGATCATTTATTAGGTAACTGGATAAAACAACAAGAAAATGCAAGAGGAAAGTTGATTGGACAGAATAAAAGTAACCATCCCTTTGCATAGGAAATAAGTTACATGTAGTGAAACATGTTACATATTTTCATGCCATAATATCACACATGTTCATTAAAATGAGATCTGATATCAGAAGGGGCATAAATTGTAAGGGAAAAGGTTGTTTGGAGTTCACAAAAGAGATAAACCAGACTTCAATTTGTACCGTGTTTCTCACATAATAAGGCCGGGCCTTATTTTTTTTTGACCCCCGAAAAGACGTCCTAGCCGTTTTTTCGGGGGTGACTTAATTCCCCCCCCTTGCATCCTCGGGTGGGTGGGCGGGCGGCGACAGCTTGGATATTCGGGAGACCTTCGGGTTTGGGCCACCGTTGCTTTCCCTTCTCCCTTGCTGCCGCGGCGTTAGAGCAACGCCGCGGCGTTTGGCGCAGCCACGTGCGGCCAGTCAGGGCTCCTCCCTGCAACCGGAGCCCTGAGGAGACACTTGGCTTCAGGCGCTCCCGTCTTCCCTTTGCTTTCGAAGGTAAAGCGAATTATTTTACAAAGCCTCCCCTGCCCGAGAGGGCAGCCCAACCCCACGTGGGGAGACTAATTTCCCGGGGCCTCTTCCGTTCCTCCCCGACCACCCTACACTGCGCGCCTCTGACGCGCCGGTCCCTTCAGCCCAGTGAGCTCTTCCACCTCAAAGAAA